AAAGTATTCCTCTGTTCTTGTCAATGTTCATTTTGAGCATGAATCTCATTGAATGGACTGATCCAAATAAAAAATCATTAAGATTTGTTTATTTGAAAAATTAATTCAAAGCATATAGCTATATGTTTATGGTGAAGCAACAATTCTAAGATACAATAAAAATAACTTTTTGGTATTTATTCTAAAAAAAAACACCAGATAACAAATTTGTTTAATAATCAACAGTTAATCTATGTAGGAATCAGGAGGAATGACATGTCAGATGGTTAAGAAGTGGGCAAGCTGGGGCAAGCTGGGGACTGAATGCGGAAGGAAAACAAATTGGTTTGGTGTACAAAACAAAAAAAAATCACATTGAGAAAAGATTTTGTTATCTTCTAACTTTAGAACATTATGAAAACAATAGCATAAGACTGTTATCTTGCTTTTGGTCTCCTGTTCTCAACTGTCTTCCACCATTTGAATCATTAATATAGGGCATAGAGAACTATATAGTTCCTACTTTGTGTGAAAAAAATTGGACAGATTAACTAGGGATTGCATTTAATATCCTTTTGTTCCAGTATAGCATTAATTACTAGGATGTTGGGAAACTGTAATGCTGAAATATATATTTTACAGTGCAATTAGATGAGTGCAACTTGCTTTCACATGCTTAGGAATATATGTTTTATAGTCCAAGCCAATGCATGTCTATTCAAAAATAATTTCAGTGAAAATTTGTCCCAGATAAATATATACAGGAATGCGAATTAAGTTATGTTTTGCCAATTGTGTTCAGGGAAATATAATGGCTTGAAACTTAATCTTTCCATTTCATTAGAAAACTCTGGCTATTTTTTTCCTGTCTATTCTAGCTGCCCAATTGAATGAAATCTGTGGAGATATTCTATGGATATTTCTTTAGTTGAGCTTCTGATTTATCTGTTCCTTCTTTGTTTTCATTTTCAATTCATAGATAGTTTTACATTTTACATTTCTCATATCTTAAAACAAAAACAAAAAAGAGAAGAAAAAAAGGAAATAGTATGCTACTTGAGAAACATGTCCCTCTTAAGCTAAAATACATTTATATCCAGAATTTTTCTATTCTTTTTAACCATATTCAAACAAATGTTTAATCTTTAAGTATTCCATCTAATAAATCCAATCATCTAATCTTTTAAATCTATTCAAAACATTCTTATCAACTGAATTTTTTTCAAAATCAATTACATTTAAGTATCTAAAACATTTCCCTCATATAAACCATCCCAACATTTTTATATTTCTCATATCATAAAAATACTATGTTACTTCAGGGGCCCATCCCTCTTAAACTAAAATTAATTTATATCCAAAATTTTTCTATTTCTTTAACCATATTCAAACAGGTGTTTAATCTTTAGATATTCCATTTGATAAACCCATCATCTAATTTCTTAATTCTAACTTTAGCCTCTTTTTTTTGCCAAACATCTTTCCTAATCAGTATGCTCCATTGGACCAGAAGGTCTTCCCATAGTCTTGTAGATGTTGTTGTAGGTACAAGAGAAAAGTCAAGTAAGATGTTTTTGTAGGAATGTTTTGCTCCTTCATATTCATTGAAAATCTTTTTCTTTTTTTCTCTCTTAATTTCTCTTATCATTTTTTGTCTGTCAAGTTCTCATAGTTCTCCTGACAGCTCTATAATCCATTTTGTCAAAAAAATTTCTTGTCCTCAGACTTATTTTGCAATCTTGAAGTGTGGGTTATATTTTCCATGTCCAATATTTCCTGCAAGTTTTTCTCCACCTGTGGGAGGATGGAACAAAAGTCCCCTCCTTCTCACTTTTGGAGGATTTTTGCTTCTTGGGGATTTTTTTTCCAGGAAATCAATTATCAAATAGAAGAGAGAGATTCGGTATTCTTACCCAGTTCCAAACACGTTGTTTATGATCAAGCTTAAATTAGTGCTTTTTGGCTTCAGCTGCTTGTAGCTTGGGCTAGACTCTGGAGTGAAACTAGCCTTTCTTCTGCTGGTTTCTGGAGGGCTTTCCCCGGACAACCGGATTGACCACTATTTTTCCATGGTCAGCAGGGCACCCCTCCTTTGTCACCTCTCTGGGGCAAGTTTAGGCCCATTTAGGGTCCCCAAACAGAAAAAAATCGGCCATAGGGTGCGGAGCCCCGCGATCCCTCGGCTGCTGAATTACTGTACAAAACCAGAAGCCTTGAGTTTTATAGAATTATAATAATCTTGTAATCCCAGAGCTATTCATTAACCTGAAGATTCAGGAATGGTATGTTTTTTTATAGCTTCCCTTGGGCATCTAGTTGACTACAAATTATTGGACCAGAGTATACTATAGTCTTATCCAACCAGCTGTTCTTAAGTTCTTAAAATTGTGCAGCTGTATATTTCATCTTGCAGAAAATGTTCTGTTTGAAATCTTTTCTTATTTGAAAATATCCTTTCAAAACTGGGGAACCTGTTTATAAAGAAGAGGCATATTCTTGTTTAGATTTTTGGTTTTGATGTGTGGCAGCTCCCAAGAGCTTCAGGGAATGTGACCATGATGCAATGAGATAGAGGATTTTCTCCCATTTATTGAAAAAAATAAAATAGGTAAATTAAGTCTCTTAAGGGAGAGGTTTGTGCTACTTAGAGGTGATTTGAGGAGCATGTAACATATATTTTCCATAATTGTTCTATTTCTTCCTGCTATTTTCCTATTACTCATTTTGAAAAAGTGAAAGAGATGCTTTTTAAAAAATTATTTCATGGGAGGAAAGAATTTGGTAACATTTTTATGGATGGCATGTGATTTTTCACTTATTCAGTCACAAAGGAATGTGTGTTTCATGTTTGCATAATAGAAAATAACAGTAGCATCCTCTACTAGCTTCAGTTTAAAAAAATAAACTCAAAACATCACCAAGATAAATTGTTAAGAGTTTCTGAAACTCCCTATGAATTAGATGTAGAAGGTTATTGTGGGGGGAAGAAAACATTTAAAAAATTGCAAAACAGATTTTGTCACCATGCTAGAAAAAAGAGAAACTATTATGAAATACTAAAAGGAGGCATGATAGGAGTAGCTGCTTAAGAGATAGGGTGAATTAATGGTTTACCATAGTCTACTGGAGAGATTGTGTATTCTGTGACAGGAGAGGAGAAGGAGAGCTGCAACAACACAAATAAGAGGTTCAGGGCAAGCAGATGTGTGTGTGCGTTTGTGTACACATACATGCATATATGTATACATACATACATACATACATACATACATACATATCTGCTCTCTCTCCTAATTCCTTGCCTTGAATTTATTGTATATACACCCAGTGCTTTTTTTCAATTTGGAAGAATGGCCAAGAACTTTAGAAGTGAATCAAATGATGCTATCTCTCTCACACATACACAAACAAACACACAAACATGCACATTCCTCACAAAAGCAGAAGCTGTGATTTCCAGGAGAGGAAGATTGGGCTATGTGTGTTATTGATTTCATTTGTTTCCATTGTCTTTCTGTGTCTCTCTTTTGTTTCTGTGCTGTGATTTTTCAAAGGTTCAGGACCCACACAAAAAGCCTACAAGTTGCTCACCCCTGCTCAATAACATAATAAGCTTCACCTTGAGAAGAAAAGAAGAATCCTTTGTCTCCTCCATGCAGAAATTGCCTTGCAGCTATCTAAAAAGATCTAGTGAGATCAGTTTTGTGCAGGCAACAAGTTGGATATCTCATAGCCCTGAGGACATTATTTCTATTCCACACAGGCTGTGCTATCTAATTCCATATCCAATTCTATCTTCCATTCATAGAAGACTTTCAAAAGACTAGTATTTCAATTTGTTCAAAACCTAAGCTTGAAGAGAATCAACTTTTAACTCCTTTGAGAAATACTACTTTCACTGTTTTAAAAAAACATAGTTCCTGTACTGTATCAGCAATGCATCTTTTACAGCAGTGGCTCCCAAGCTTTTGGGCACCAGGGACTGGTTCCATGGAGAAAGTTTTTTCCGCATATCGGAGGAGGCAAAGTTTCGCATGCTGCCTGCATCCCATGAATGAGGCTTCGCTTGTTTGCACAGATCGGTTGCTGGCATGCTACAGACTGGTGCCGTTCCTTGGACCAGGGGTTTGAGACCCCTGTTTTAGAGGAAACAAGTGCCACTTTGAAATAACTCTTAAAACCGTTTTACCTCAACATGAATTTGAAACAGTAATTAGAAAAAGACCAGCTAAATTCATTAAAAATCATAATGAAGTCCTTAGATAACCATTTTTAAGATATTCACAACAGACAGTGATAGCACAGATTAATTTAAAAATGCACTTTTCATAAAATTGTGCTAGTTCAGTAGGTCAGGAGTGCCCAATCCCCGGTTTGTGGATCGGCACTGGTCTGCAGCATGCCAACAAGCGGGCTGCACAAACAAGCAAAGGTCCATCCTTGGGATGTAGGCAATATTCAAAACCACACTCCCTCTGGTCCACGGAAAAACCTTTCTCCATGGCACCGGTCCCTGGTGCCCAAAAGGTTGGGGACCTCTGCAGTAAGTCATGGATATATGAATTTTCTTATTTGTGTCTCAAAAGATTTATGATTTTGGCCAGACCCTTGACATATATCAGTGTTTTAAAAATCTGATCTAAACGTTACAAATCAGTTTTTGCTCAATCTAGTATCTTCCAGATAGGTTGAGCAAGACACCCATAATTCCCAACAACCTACCCAATCTAGAATATAATGAGATTTTTATCCTGAGCACATCAGTTGGGGAGGTCTGGCCTCGGTGGCTAGTTTATTCTCTGTATGATATATCTGGAATGTCAACATGTGATCCTGTTGAAAGAAATCTCTGTGATGTACTGAATGACTCTTATTCTAAGTCACCATACCTTGTGAACAATTTGGACACTGATAATTACCTCTGTTTAGAGAATTAATTGTAGGCAAAACTTTCAGAGGGATCATAGAATGTAGTATTGTTTTAAAATGATTTTATTCTCTTTTTTCCCTCCTCACAGATAATGAAAAAAATGAGTAACATCTATGAATCAGCAGCCAATACTCTGGGAATCTTTAGCAGCCCCTGCCTGACCAAGGTAGAATTGAGAGTGGCATGCAAAGGCATTTCTGACAGAGATGCCCTCTCTAAACCAGATCCCTGTGTCATACTGAAAATGCAGTCTCATGGACAATGGTTTGAGGTAGGTGTCCAATTATATATTTATTTAATCTCTCTCTCTCTCTCTCTCTCTCTCTCTCTCTCTCTCTCTCTCTCTCTCTCTCATACAGTATACTACACCTTCAAAAGAAAACAACTTGAATTTGCCTAAAGCAAATTCATCCTGAAGATGAATGATACTTTCTTATAATTCTTCTAGTGCTGGCCAAAAACTTAACTGAAAAGAATAACTCCCAACTGCTGCACGGATGCCCAGTTTTGTCTCAGGGGCACTGGGTAGTTTTGTCAGTGGTATTTCTGAATGAAGCTGTTATAGATCCATGCCTGCGTTGGCAGAAAACAATAGGAGAAGAAAATTTGCTGTCTCTATTGCTAATTCTATCTGGTCTTTATTATCTTTACTATTCATCTGTCATTACTCCAGTAGCAAATGGTGGCAGGTATATTTTCTATACTTTTGAGACTATTCTGAAATGGTGTCAGAATAAGAGAGAAAATCTTATTTCAATACTAGTAGAGCTCATAATTATTTAAACTATTTCATTAATTGGTTGGAAGCCAGATGAAGTTAATGAATACAAAAGAGTAAATTGCTCTTATCAAGGAATTATTATGCTGTGGCTAGATGAGCTGACTGAAAAAAGCCAATATTTTGATCAAGGCCATATTGGGAAAACATTGATTAGCAACTATGAAAGGAATACATGGTTAAGAAATTGGTTAATTGAAATCCAAAATTTGCTTGGAAAAAAAGAAGAAAATGAAATATCTTCAATATATATAGCAATGGATTTATATTGACCCTACCCAGTGGTGGGATTCAAATATGTGAACAACTGGTTCTCTGTGTGGATGCTGCTTCCAGAAGTCCATTCTGGGCCTGGGAAACAAAAAATTAGTTACCGGTTCTGCCGAAGTGGTGCAAACTGGCTGAATCCCACCACTGACCCTACCTGTTTAAAAGATGCCCAATCGGCCTGAACAACTCATCTAATGATAAAATGTACAGAAGCACCTGGAGGTGTCGATACAAACCACTGAAAGGAAAGGTCCAAATAAATAAATTAGTCCTTTTCAACCCTATGATTCTGTTATTTTAGTTCAGTGATGGCGAACCTTTTAGAGACCGAGTGCCCAAACTGCAACCCAAACCCCACTTATTTATCGTTGGGTGCCGGATGGGCGTGGCCCACTGGGTGGTCATGGCTGCTGTGGGCATGGCCAGCTTGACATCACTTGCGTCAGGGACACTTGTGCAGAGCTGGGCAGGACTGGGGCAGATCTGAGGGTCTCCGGCGGAGGGGGGATGGGACTGGGGTGAGCACCGGATCATGGTGCACTGGAGGAGCCTCACTGATATTAAAGGGGGTGGAGGGATGATATTAAAGGGGGTGGAGGGATGATATTAAAGGGGGTAGGGGAAGAGATATTAAAGGGAGTGGGNATAATATTGAAGGGGGTGGGGGAAGTGGTGTGTGTGTGTGAGACAGAGAGAAAGATCCCCTTTTTGTAAGTTTGCTTACTCTGCAATGCTTTCCTTTCACCACACTTTTGCTTCCCTGCTCAATCTCTCTTTCTCTCTACTGATCTGGGCGGCAGAAACATTTTTGAAGCCTCTGGAGCTCGCATTCATGGCCAGGGGGCAGTTTTAGGGGTGCGGGAGACCTCGAAAATGCTTCTGCCACCCAGATCTGGAAAATGCGGTGGGTGGGGGGGGAAATGGCACGATTCGCACAGCGGGTGGGGGCAGTGGCACGTGATCCACATGGCGGGGGAACGGTGGTGGCAGCACGATCTGCATGGCTGTCGGGGAAAAATGCGGCAGCGGCAGGGCGATCTGCGTGGTGGTTGGGGGATTTCGTGGCCCCCCACAGCTGATTCAGGTGGCAGAGGCCTTTTCCAGGCTTCCAGAGTCTGGACCGGGCTGGTGGGGTGCAGCAAAAATTGCTCCGGAGGCTTACTTGGACTCGTGCTGGCAGCTGCCTCCACCATCCAGCCCAGATCCGCCCAGCTCTTGCAGTTGTTCCCTGGCTCTCAGTACAGAGAGAAAGAGAGCCGAGAGCGCATGTGCACATGGAGGGGAGCAGTCTGGTCCTGCCTCCTTCCAGGGCAATGGCGTGCGTGCCCACAGGGACGGCTCCGCATGCTGCCTGTGGCACGCGTGCCATAGGTTCGCCACCATGGCCCTAAGGCAAGCATTGTGGATGGCCTATGACGTCTGAATGTTAATTTCCAGTCTTAATTTCCAAGGCTGCATGTACAATGAATTGTGAATTTGGAAGTGAGTTCTCCTTATCTTGGTGGCCTTTAATCTTGCAGGATGTTTGTCTTTTAGACAGTTTTCAGAGAAAAATAGGATATTTAGTAAAATGTTCAAGTACATATTAGATGAAAAAACAGTAACTGGGAGAGGAATCTTGGAATCCTGGTAGACAATCACTTAAATAAGAGCCAGCAGCCTGGCAGCAGCTAATGCGATCCTTGGTTGCATAAACAGAAGCATAGAGTCAAGATCACATGAAGTATTAGTTCCTCTTTATAAAGCCTTTGTAAGTCTACACTTGGAATACTTCATCCAGTTTTGGATCACCACATTATAGAAAAGATGTTGAGACTTTGGAAAAAGTGCAGAGAAGAGCAACTAAAATTATTATGGGGACTAAAACCTATCAAGAATGGTTGCAGGAATTGAGTATAGCTAGTCTAGAGAAAAGAAGGACTAGGGGGTGAACCTTTAGAGACCGAGTCCCCAAACTGTAATCCAAAACCCACTTATGTATTGCCAGGTGGGTGTGGCCCACTGGGTGGGCATGGCTACGACGGAAATGGCAGACTGGATGGGCATGGCCAGGGTGGGCATGGCCAGCTCAATGTTGCTCTGGCAGATGGGGCAGTGGGGACGAGGGCATCTTGCTCAGCGGGTGGGGGACATGGGGGGAGGCTCCTGAGCCCTGCAGCTCTTCTGAGGGGGGGTAGGAGGAGAGTGGGGAGGGGCTGTGCTGGGATCGGGGCTCCTCATGCCTTCCGCTGCCCACCTGCGCTCTTCTGCCAAAGATGCCATGGCTCCACTTGCCTGGCAGGACAGGGGTGCACTCGTGCATGGTGAGGCATATAGGGCTGCTGCCTGGCTTTCCATGCTGTGCCGGGACTGGGCTGGACTGGACGGGATGCGTAGCCTCCTCACGGCTTCTTCCCCCATGGACATTGGGATTGCCCACCCCACCTACTGCTCGTCCCAGGGCAGCTGTCGCCATCCCGCACTCTCTAGCCCGTTGCCGGCCAGCTGGGTGTGCTGGGATGCCTCCCTTCATACTCCCTCGGCCTCTCCCCCCTCCAGGCTGGGGCTGGTAAGATTCCCCCTGTGGGCAGCCCTGCACCCATCCCTGGCCATTCTTCCTCCTCCATCCTTCTGCTCCTTCTGCGGGCGAACCACAGCTTACCAAGCCGGGCGCGCCTCTTCTCGCACACACCCTCAGGCAGAGGAGCCAGGCAGCCACGCTATTGCTCCTCTCTAGCCTCCATCTGCCGAGGCCTGAGCTCGGCGTGCCCAGCTGGACGGCGATGGGCTTGAGAGTGCGAGATGGCAGCAGGTGTCCCGGGATGAGCAGTAGGTTGGGTGGGCACTCCCGATGTCCCCGGGGGAAGAAGTAGCAAGGAGGCTCTGTGCCCAGTCCAGCCCAGTCCCAGCAGGGCACAGAAAGCGAGACAGCAGCCCCATGTGCGTCGGACCCAACCCTCACAGAGTGCCCTTCTCCCACCGCCCCGACTGGTTCCTTACTTCCGCCTGGCTTGTTCCACAGCCTCATGGCAGTGGCATTGGGCAGGAGGCGGCAAACAAGGCTTGCTGAGGATCGAGCCATGTTTGCCACCGCCATCACCCTCAGAACCGGCAATCATCAGGGCCCCGTCACAGGAAGACTCGGGTGTGCCAGGGTCCAGCCCTACAAAGCCCACCTTCTTCTCGCCCAAGCTGCCCGGATACATGCCCCCGTTGTGCGACTTCTGCAGCAGCGGCGATGCAAAGACCAATCACACACATGAGCAGGGCAACCATGCAGGGCAGAGGCATTGCCCGGGGTCGGAGCAGAGCCGAGTGGGACTGTGGCAGCGGCTTTGCTCCAGCCCTGGCTTTGCGCCTCTGCCCTGCACAGCTGTTCCCCTCGCGTGTGCAATTGGCCTCTGCGCTGCCAGTGCCCACAATCTGCCTGGCCTCCCCTCCAGCCCTGGGCAGCACCTCTGCCCTGTGCAGCTGTCCCACTCATGTGTGGAATCAGCCTCCGCACTGCCGCCACCGCCGGTGCCTGCAATCTGCCCGGCCTCCCCTCCACCTGATTTGCGTAACTTCTCCTGGGCCCCGTACCTGCCGCTAACACTCCCACCACCATGCAGGGTAAGGTTGCTGCCCCCACCCCCATCCAGATGCCCTCACCTCCCCCAGTCATTTTTTTACTAACCTGCCTTTCAGCTGCATTCTGTTTCTCCATTTGCTTCTCAGTCTTCGCCACGTGTTTGTGGGACTATCGGTAAACAAAAAAAAGTTCCATCATATTTTCTAACTTCTCGCGAACACGTGGTGAAGGCTTCGGCAGGTGTCTGGCAGGGGGAGGGAAGCAACAGGCCCCGCCTCACCCCTCGCATGGAGTACCCTGCTTCCACCACTCCCCCCACTCCCACATGGCACCTTTTTTTCAATTCCGACACGTCACTTCCTTCGCCATTATGTGGGACTGAAAATAAAGTTCAATAAAGCAATTCCAACTTTGCGAGATCTTTTTTTCCCCCACAAGAAGTTGAAATTAATTGATTGAACCTTTTTTTGCACATGGTGGAAGAGGCCTGGGACTGGGACCATGGCGCACATGCCCACAGAGAGGGCTCCGTGTGCCACCTATGGCATGCATGCCATACGTTCGCCACCACAGTACTAGGGTGTGACATGATAGCAGTATTCCAATAGTTGAGAGGCTGTCACAAAGAAGAGGGAGGTTAACTTATTTTCCAAAGCACCAGAAGGCAAGACAA